TATTTCTTTACCTGGTTGTTTTAAAATCAAAAAGAAATGAGACAAGTGGGTAGAAATGAAAACAACAAACACATCTGCAGCAGGTAAAGTTATTTTTTCAGAGTACACACCATTCGTTCCGTTCAATGACGCTAAAAACCGGACCGGAGCTTACTACTACAAAATCAGCAGAAATTATTAGCCACGCGTTCTGTGTAAAAGCTGGTGCAGCGGCAGAGAGCGAATAATTCAGTGTCATCTATCGACCCTGTATAAATATCTTTAGATGATGCATGGGTCTAATATATGAAGAAAGAAATGTACACTGCAACATATCAGTTACTATTTCCCAAGCTGTTAACTCACCTCAAAACTTAACTTGAAGCGTTTGTCGAGTCGAGAATACGTTAACCCAAAAATCCTTCATACTATCCCAAAGCACAGGGCCGTTTTTTCGTTTAGAAAGCCAACATATACATGTGCAAATAGGAAAATGGCCTGTACTTCACTACTCACAGTGCAATGATTACTCACTTTATTACCGTTCAGTGTTTTCATCTGTCTCGCCACATATACAGAATAAATTAAACCTGCCAATGATTCCACGATCGAACTCACGAAGGCTGAGGTATGGTATCAAAATGTTTACTTTCCTAAATCTTTCAAAAAAAGGAACCGATTCAGCAATCACATCGGGGCTCTCGCACAGAGCCCGAGTTATTGTGTTCCAAAAAAATTAAATAAAACGTGTGAATCAGGAACGAGCAGGATGAAACAAACAGTAACGAACGACTAACAAGTTCCTCTCAAGAGTATAAAAGTGTCGGGATGCACAGAGCACTGGAAAATGCTTGGTTCAAGTTCTAATCATCACATCTAAGTACAGTGTGCTTTGGATTTAATTGTCTTTTTCTTCTTCTTCTTCTCTCTCTCTCTTTGAAATGATACTGATATCCTAACAGTTTGACAAAAAGATCAGGCTCTTGTCTTTTTTTTTTCTTATTTATTTCTTAAAACCGTGTTAACTCTCAACTCGCTGTGTGTAAATTTGCTGGTATGACACTTTGTAAAATTATTCAGCTTCAGTATTTACAGAGCAGGTGTGTGTCTGTTTGTCTCGTGGGGTCGTGACGCCGCCGTCTTTCCAGCAGGAACAAAACAAAACAAAACGTATAATGTAACTGTTTACAGCTTTGTCTTCTATTCACACGCTATAACATGTTCTTTTTGACACACCATCACAAAAATATGCTATTCTCTCACTGAGTTGGTTATATGCAGTGACTGGAATAATATGTACAGCTACATTTCTTTTTCTCAAGTTTGAATTCACAATGTAGTTATATGAAATTTGTTATAGCATATATATATATTTCTAAACAACAAAAACAACACTTATAAAAAAGGACCATAAAAATATTGGAGTCCTCTTTGTATTGCCCAAAAATAGGTAATTATGGTTAACAATGAGACATCACAAGAAATAAAACAGCTACTAAGATTTATTACTTAGATACCTTCTTTAAAGTTTCCTTAAAATTTAAATTTTTTTTTCTCCACGTCTTTCCCCAAGCTTCTTTTTTTGCGGGAAGACTGAAAGGAACATCCCATCGTTTTTCCTTTTACACTGACCCATACAAAGATGAAGACATGACTTGCAGATATTCTTGGCTATGACCCCCCCGCCCACCCACCGCCCGCACTTCAAACAAAATCCATTTACACAAATATACCAGGAGATCAAATAAAATGACACAAATCAAGGTCGAACTAAAATGACTCTCTAAAAACTAATCAAAAAACAAAAAGCTAGAACAGAGGAAGGAAACAGGTGAATGAGATTGACGTGAAACATCACACCAAACCAGGTTGTAAAGTTATAGGAGGTTTGGATTATAGTACAGCAGTTGTTATTTTTCTGAGATGACTAACGTTTTTCTTTTCTTCTTCGTATGGTTTCCCACTTTCTTTCCTGGGTGACAGCGTAGTGCTTGAAGTTGGATTAGCGTCACCTGCACACAAAGCCAATTAGAAACTTCGTCCTGTCTTTCCTGGGCCACCAGATATACTCTGCTGGACAACAGAGAAAAAACAGGAACAGCAGCAGAATTAGAAACAGCTCGTTAGAACTGGTTTAATTCTTAACAAACAAAACTCTGTAGGATTCGCTTCAGACATTAAACGAAAAAAAAATCTGTGGACATTAAAATGACTTGTGAATGACACAAAGACGTTTTCATAAATGGCAGCAGGTGAAAACTCACTGTGGCTTCAGGCACCATATACAGCACGTTCACATTTCAAAAAATCTACACTTCTTTAGTTGCTGCTTGTTACAATAGCGATCGTGTTCATGCATGTTCTGCTACTGTGGAGTCTTACAATAGCTGTGGTGCTTAGCTGGAAATAATACAATAATCACACATGTGCACAAATGAATTCAACACATATAACATAGAGTTTACTAAATAGCTAGAAGCAGAAAAAAAGCTGGAGACCACCTGAACTGGGTTTTTATAGATGATGATGGTTCTGTTATTCATGAGGGACAATGTTAGGAGTGAGGATGTAAAGCAATGACAAAATAAACCCTAATCGAGTGAAATATTCATTTCCTCAGGGGCATTTGCTGTTTTAACGTCCTGGCATATCAGTAACAAGTCTTTTTTTTATTCTACAGGTGATCCATAACTGTCTATGGAACAAAAAGAGCTGACGTCAAAAACTGTAAAAACGGGTATGTAACATAACGTATGGTTATATATATATATATATATATATATATATATATATATATATTAAAAGATAGACGACATGAGCGCTTCCCAAAACAGAAGCCAAAATGACTCGATTGCCACCTGGAAGTGGAAGTTCATTAAAAAGTATAAAATTTAAAGGTCAAATAAATGTTTCTATAATTGAATGTAGTTCCTGATGTTTGTTTAAGTTTCCACTACGTCAGTTTGTTTTTTGCTGCTATAAAAATCATGTAAATTCAAATTTCGTGATTGAGAGCTAAGACTGGCTCGTGATTGGACAAGCAAATATATCTGCGGAACTTTGCTACCCAGTTGCTAATGTGCAGACTCTTTCTCCAAGTACGCAAGATGGTGGCGTTCATATCCAGGATATTTTGGCTTGAGAGTGGAGACGCCTCGTCCATCTTTACAGTCTACAGTGTTTGCGATGTAAACATTTCCGAACGTTAACAAGAAACAAGAATTAAATACTGCAGAGCTGGTCGTATGTGTGTGTGACAAAGTCTAAACTTCAACAAAGAGTCTCGTAAACAAACTGACCAAGATTTAAACTATTGCAATTAATGATTATTTCTGCTTTCTTTTCATTTCCTCCTGTGTCGAGGGATCAAACAGATCACAGGCCTCTTGATTTGTGAAGAGATCAACCTTCAGTCACACACTTTACCACCAGCTCTGTCATTCTGAGGGAGGCGAGTAAACAATGAATAATGTGATGAACATACATTAGAGAGGGAAAGAGGAGAGAAATGCACAGTAAATAAAATGCAATACCTCTGATGAGATGGCAACCGGCCACCTGTTCAATGGTATCCATTTGTAAAAGCTGTTGCAATCAACGGGCCCTAAAAGTGTACAGTTAGTGCTTTTGTCAGTATGCATTTCAAGGAGAGAAAAGTGAGTATCACATCAACTTTGAATTTATTTTTACAGCTAGCAACCTATAGATTCAGCTGGATCATGTTGAGCAACACAGCAGGAGAGCAGTTTTCATATATATATATATGTATTATTACACAGGTTCGGGGGAAACAGCGCCTGCAGCGATACACACACTTCTATTTCTGTTGACAATGTAGTTCTCAGGTTACAAAATCCTCAGTGGGAAAATAGTTTAAAGAAACATATTTGAAAGGAGGTGATAACAATACACGCAATGCCCATTCATGCTAAGATGCACACCTAACTGGATGTGACTGAAGCGTGCAGGATCATAAACACCTCTAACACTGATGGGTCTGCAGAAACTCTTAAATTCACACACATCAGTAAAAAGAGACTTTCAACAGCCATTATCTGCCTCCATCACCTCACTCAAACAACTGCTCTACAACTGCCTCGTATAAAAGGTTCATCAGATGTTGCCTACAGGGATTAACGGGAGCGTGAGGTCGAGGGACAGATCACATCAGTGAATCTGAAGTCGCCCGTGAGGTTGTTAACGTGTTTTCACCTCAGCAGCATCCTCGCTGAAGAAATGAATCAGAAGGCGCATTTTAGCTCTGAATAATTTTCGGTTTTAATGTTCTGAACCGAGAAATCATCTCGCCAAGGGCCAGGAGGTCAGAGGACTCGCCGCGTCACCTCTCTGCTTTGCTGCACTCTGAAGTGGCGCAGGCACATTTTAAATTCTGCGAGGGAATCTCAAAAGCTGTCCTTAAGAATGAGGGTTAAATACATATTATTCCTCTGTTTCATTAATTAGTTTAAGGTAAAATGGCCTTCATGAAACGTGTTGGATTAAAAGACTTGTTCCTACATTGTCCAACTCAGCATTAAACCGAGGTTAGAAACTGTTGCAACAAATGGAAAATAATGGAAACAAATCGCCTCATTTCCATCTGTGAACTATCTGTTGCTAAATCTGCTTTGAAAATGAGACCGGCTGCTCTATCATAACAAATATTTTGCTTCCTACTCTGAGACTAGCAGATTATGGCAGATAGCCAGTGGACCTAAAACAATTAATAAGGGAGGCTTTGCTTGGGAAGCAAAAAAACAACAAAATGTATTTTTTCTGTTAAGCTGCTGGTTTGTTGTATATCATAAATCAATTACACATACTTACTAGAATTAAGGTGAACCATGTCGCCTTCTCATGCGCTTTTTCTTTTTTTTGCATTATCACACATTCACTTCATCCTCGCTAAACTCTTACGATTTCTCTCAATGAATCAATGTACTGTGAAAACATCTTGTATTTCTCTTAAAAAAGACGCACAAACTTTTGTGGCACAGCTACGATGACAGATGCAAGTTTACAAACATCAAACGAACTCTGTGGCCATTCAACGTGATAAACATGAATTAAACTTAAAGAATTCAACATGTAACTCATTTGTAATTCTAATTCAGGTTAGAGATGTGAACTGTTAAGACTGTGTTCCCTCAGCGCTGAGTTCCTTCCTAACATGCCTCGAGGAACCTCACAGTGAATCAGAGAGCTTGGCCCTGCTGCAGCTTTCTACGAGCCATGAAATTTAGGTGGACAACTATAAATGAATTATCCAGCACGAGCTAACTAAGAAAAATGGTTTGATTAAGTCTTACTTTGGGGATTGTGAGCCTCGTCCGTCCCTTCATTAATAATACAAGGTTCTAAACATGTTTGAATGTCTGGATCACTGGCCAGGCTTATTTATCTGACTGTATGAAGTCAGTTCTTCGACACCTCACTCAGCAATACTTAAGATTTCCGATAGATATAAGATAGATAGAATAGATCACGATGCAGATCTGATATGGATTAGAAACATTTTAAATGGATAAGTACACTGTATCAACTCTGGAGAACAATAGTGTCATTGAGATGAGATGGAGAAGGGGCCTCCTGACTTCTTTATCTAATCCAATGTTGGGAAATGCATTCTGGGAAAGGAATAGGGGGCAGCCAACATGTGCGCATGCTAACATTTGCAGTTCCGTTGAGCTGAAGCAGGTTACTTGAGCATCGTCGCTTGTCAGCAGCATTAACTCTTAAAAACGTTTGTCACCGAAGCGCAATGAATCCTGGGATAGTTTGGGCCTCGTTTCTCAGGGATGGAAGGACACATTAGCATCTAAAGGAGACTTTAAAATGAAACAGTGCAACAGAAGCCACACATCTGCAGACAGAGAACACCTCTTTCCTACCGTCTCCTCTACCAGCCCAGCTAGTCTTGCACATGAGTTGACATGGCAACCGGCAGCTAACTGATCAGCAGGAGGAAAAGTGCAGCAGCGCCCTGCTGAGCGACTAAACCTGGACAAGGACAGTGGGAGAGACGAAACCTGCTTCTAAGCTTTGTCCTGGTGACAGATCAAACTCAAACCCTGGGACAGCTGGGGTTTCTAAAAATAACGGAAATTTGTTCTGGGAAGGTGACACAGGGTCTGAAGTGAGGTCATATGTGCAACTGCTGAGGGGAATAAAGATTTGCATTTGACACAGATAACTTTGAGAGCCAGGCCTGGGTTTACCCTGGTGTACAAAATGCTTTCAGGACCTCCACTGACAGTCAGAAAAAATGAACCACACTGAGACTTTAATAAATGGTTGCTTTGGATTTAGGATATTTGCTAAGGAGCAGCTGGTGGTTATTTTAATAAATTCAGCGACAGAAGAATTTGTTAACTCTTCTCTTTATGATACATAGTTTACAGAATCACAGGCAGTGTGCATTGGCTTAGTGTCTAATTTTAGTGCTGGTATTCTGACACAGAGGCGGCAACTGAGCTCAAAGTTGCAGTCAGTTGAACGTCAGAGTACTCACTGTGATGCTGGGGCCAAACCCAGAGCCAGGCTGAGGGCTAGCAGCACTGATGTAGTTGCCCACAGCGGAGTCCTGGCTGCTAGGTCCGTACAGGTCGGCCACAGGCCCTGGGCTGTTAGCACCAGGAAAACCTCCGGGCCTTGACGGGTTGGCGCCTGCACACAAACACAGCAGGGAGCAGAGCAGCTCAGAAACACACCACAATGATCAGCACAGTTCTTATGTCTCAAATTGACATGTTTTTAAATCAAAAGAACACATGACTGGATTCATATTTTGTCTCTAAGGACTTAAAGTTTGAATTTCAAGTTAAAATTACAAATTCAATTTCCATGGTGGAGGTTTAACTTTGAACAAACAGAGCTGAGGGTGAATCCAGTATGATATTCTGCATATACTCTACATGCTGTGTGTTTTATGCACAGGAGTAACATTCACTTTGTATAATCATGCACAACACAAAACAAGCACATTGCTAGAAATACTCTCACCATGCTAAGAATCTAGAAAGGTTGCAGCGTAAATGTTGCCATGCATGTGAAGGAGTACTTGTGAAACAACACTGTCTTCTTAATAAGAAGAGTCTGAGGAATCTTATTACTGAGTTTCGATTCCGAAACATTTTGAACCCAGACATCTAAATCACATTGTGACGCTACTTTCTGCTTCCCTGTACGACCTGATTCAGAGACACCAGTCAGGATCTTTTTAAATATTCCCGAGACTTCCAGTCGTGCGTTTTAGCTCGTTCAGTCTGCTGAAGTAACGTTGACATAAAGCAAAAGAGGTGACTGAGACGAGAGGAGGAGGTATAAGGGGGAGATATAAAAGCCTGACCCGAGTTCATCCGCAGACCCAAACTCAGGGGGGGATAAAAAAGAAATACTGTACATGACTTACCACCTTCGCCCTGTTAGTAAGAGAAACTCTGACTAATAAAATGCCTTTTGAAATTCCAGATGCCTACTAAAGGCCAATAACGCCGGCAATACAGGAAAAAAAAACTGTCGGGGAGAAAGAAAAATGCAATGATCTCTTAACAGCAATCTCCTCCGCTGTCAGCATCGCATAACCCTCCATTTCACCCTTATTCACAGACGGACTGAGGAAAAAAACTGTACAGCTGCATTAAAAAGAAAAATGTTGCAACCAAAGAAAATGCTCGATCTTGTGTGTGTATGAGCTCATGAACCCTGTGATGCCTGAGAGGAAGACTGTGCAGGACGAGAAACAGAAACACAGATCCGCTCCCACATCCACAGTGTTGAAGCAGATGCACAGGCAGTAAACAAAAAGTATCTCCGTTAACATGTTTAACATGTGACTGCTCAGTTTATCAAGGCAGTATTACACAGGGTGAGTCTAGTAGAGGCTCCTGAAAAACATACTGTAGATATCCATGTGTAGCACTTGAGTAAACAGAAGTCATCTCACTAAACACACATCTGGAGGAGGTGACACTGCTGTTCAACTGTAAGGACTTTAAACAGTGAGCAGCTTCTTCTCTTATCTCTCCTGCACAGACCCCAGTGGGCTGGAATATTACATAATTAAGGATCTTTGTAGTTGAAAGGGGAATCCTTGCATCCTACGACTGGTGGTTTTTATTAACAAGTGACTAAACTGTGAAACTACTTTTTTACATTTGGGTTTTGGGGCTGTACTGGTTCTGCTTTGAGCAGAAGCAAAGCAATCCAGGCTGCAACGTGGGTTAGACTGTTGTTCAGTTCAGAGTAGGGTCCACCAATCTATCTATCTATCTTTCTACCTACCTATCCACCTTTCTACATATACATCCATCTATCCAGCATTTGATCTTTTATTACCTACCTACCTATACACCCACCCATCTTTCTGCCTACTTATCCATCCATCCACCCGTCTGTTCTTCTACCTACCTATCCATCTACCTATCCACCCATCCATCTATCTACCTACCTATCCATCTACCTATCCACCCATCCATCTATCTACCTACCTATCCNTCCACCCATCCATCTATCTACCTACCTATCCATCTACCTATCCACCCATCCATCTATCTACCTACCTATCCATCTACCTATCCACCCATCCATCTTTCTACCTACCTATCCATCTACCTATCATCTATCTCTCTAATTACCCATCCATCTATTCACCCATCTATCCTCCTACCTACCAATCCACCCATCTACCTTTATACCTACCTATCTATCTATCCATCCATCCATGTGTGTATCAACATATTGATACAAAAACATTGTGCGCTACATTGCCTCCCTGTTCTCTAGTCTGAAGTAGAGATCCACTGTGCACAATGCATCTGTCAATAAGATTTGCAATACAACTGCACATGGACACTAATCTATGCTTCCTCTCAAACTAGTCACTTACTTACAAAACAAACAATAAATAGGCAAAGCTTTTTTGATGAACACAATATAACTTTTTTTAAAATATATTCAATGATGTGTGGCTTTGCTGAAAGCTATAGAGCTGACAGTAAACAAGGGATGACTTAAATGTGCACTTTACACAATCAGTAATTGTGAATGGATGTTGGACATATGATTGCCCCCCTGTGTAAAAAGTGGTCCCCAGCTTTATGGCCCCTGATTTAGAAAATCCTAGATCCCCAACTGCATCATTACGGTTAAGTCTGGCTTCAAATTTAAGGTGTATTCCACAAACAACAAGAACGAAATCAGACTGTGTTGACTCACTCAGGATTTGAACGAGTCCTCTCAGGCGAGACAAACTCTACTCTACCAACCAAACACAACTCAAAACAAAAAAGCAGCCATGCGTCACCTGAGCGACTTACTCTTTATCATAAAAAAAATTACGGAGCAATCCCAGGCAGTGTGCTGCTGATAAAAAGATACAGGGCTGATCTGACTCGTGTCACAGAATCATTTCGACTCTAATGTCAGCTATAATGCGTTATAAATCACCACGCTACACACCACGTCTCAAAATCAACAGAGACAATGGCGTTTTGTGTGTGTGTATGTGTGTATTTACTGTGATGTCATTTGTGATTCCTCCCCCCCTGCCATGCAGCTGTGTATGAAATAAAAACCTTCACACTCCACTTAACAGATCTACAGGAAGCAAAGAACATCATGAAGTGCTTTATGTTTGTCGTGCTACCACACTTACAAGACCGTTACAGCAAAGATAATAAAGCAGCGGGCCTGCTCCAGACCTGCAACAGATCAGCTGTGTGTGTGTGTGTGTGTGTGTGTGTGTAGCGTTGTAGTTGTATTTATATAGTCTGCCTTTGTGTTCTTCTGCTGTTTGCTGCGCTTAAGAGAGTCTGGGGGCAATTCCAACATTTCCCTGGTGCCGCTGGCAAAACACTTTAACCGAGGGAGAATTGGCCCCACACTTACCCTCTTATTATTTGTCCAAATTTTGTTTTATAATGTGCTATCATTGTGAAGTATAGATGGAGGCTCTGGTAGGATTCATGCCCACAGGTCCAAACGAGTCTCATAAAAATAACCTGCTCTCATCTTAAAAAGACCTAGTGGTACGCCATGTCAGTAATGTGATCATATAAGGATAAAAACAAATTAAAAATACATGCTAACACTGTAGTATGTTAAAAAATAGGAGTACTTCCTGCTCTCAAAGTAAAATGGCATGGATTTACAATTGTTTTAATCCACTATATACTGTTAAATTATCAAAATGCCACCTTGTAGAATATTTTCCTTGTCTGTGGAATCTCACCCTTGACCTTTGAAGTCTGTGATTATATAAGGGACATCAGAAAAAGCATAGGAGATGAAAATGTGCTTGTGTTGTAATGTAATGGCTGGTGTTCAACATTGTGCAGCATTTCTACTCACACTCTAATAACACCTGCAATCATTTCTACACTTAAAATACTTTGAGCTCTCACTTCACTCACACATACTCACTGCTCAAACATCCACATGAACCTGAGCTCTGACAGTGAGGCCACTGTCAACTCCAGTATCATCAGTAGTTAATTGTTCACATGCAAATGAAGGTTTACATTCTGTACTGTGTGTGTCGGCCCCCTATGTGCAAGCAGGGGCTGGAACGTAACTTCACAAAGAAACAGAAAATTCTACTTCAAAAAAAAAATTCAAAGAAGGAGAAACATGCAATTCTATTTTGTCAGCAAGACGGTTTTATAGGGTTTTTTTTGAAGGGGGGGTGTTTTCCTTAACAAAAGCAAGAGAGAATAAAAATAAAGATATTCTGTATGGAATAATGTCATGAATCAAACTGAAAAAAACTCCAAAACGTGGGTGAGATAGATGCGCATATACAAACCTGGGTTCTTAAACTGATCCGGGCTGTGTAGGTGCTGGAGGGGGGAGTTGCAGGCGGAGGTGGCATGCTCACTGTGCAGCATCTGAGCCGCTTGGGGCCCCAGGGAGCCATAGTCAGCAAAGGAGCAGGGCCCCCCCCTCTGGTCACTGGGCGTAGAGTAAAACCCATAATCGGGGAGGCCTGGGAGATACAGTATAGGGTGGGGAGGGGGGAGGGGGAGGGGGTGGTACTCCATCATTGTGGAAATCAAACTTTTTTTCATCGTCAAAACTCAGTGTCCAGATTGTTCAGCACAGCCTCAGTGGTGCATTACACCGTTCTCAAAGTTACATCCTTAGTGTTTTGTCTGCTTTAATTGGCCCTTCCTGCCCTCCCTCCCCAGCAGCTCCTGCCATGTGGCCAGGCCCCCCTGGCATATGGTCTGTGTTTGAATGCTCAGCTGTGTGGTATACACTAGCCCTACAATTATTGATACAGATTATATCTCCCTGAAAGCCCACATTTAAAACCTACTCAGAAGAAGACAGTTAAATATACAGAAATATCAAATATACAGTGCGGCAACAGCTTTGATACTTTGGTGTCTGCATGACTGACCCCCCATGTTTTCTTATACTCATTAAGACAAAACTAAAGCATCATTAAAACACAGGTCAATACATCTGTAATTTTGAACTTTTAACTCACAATACCTAAATGAAGCTTTTGTCATTTAAATAAAAAGAAACACAAAGCAAATCCTTTTTTGGACTAAAAGAGAAAGATTAGTTGTAGTTTTTATATGTGAAGGAGATACAGACACATTCATGTTTATTGATGACGAGCATTCTGGAATCTGAGCACGTCTCCGACTGACATCTTCGAGAAATTCTCTCTTTGACACAGATGGTGGATTATCAACAGTTTAGAAAATGTCACTTGGCAATAAATTGTGCTGACATTTACTGCTTGTCCTCTTAATCTGAGACAAGCTGCTCATATAAAGAGTGCAATTAAAAGAAACGGCTCCTTCTCACACCTCTTTGATAACAGCGTTAATCTGCGCAGGAGGGACTGAGATTGGTGACACAGACTTTTCCACGCTGGGTTTCCCCTGCTGTGTGTTTGTGTGCGTGTGTGTTTTTTTTGGGTCCTGGAGCGAATAGCCATTCAAAGCCACTTCACCTCTACCCATTCAGAGTGAGACAGTCCACTTCTGCCAAATGGAATGTAAGCACCAGCCATGTTTCTCCCCGCCAATGCTTTTTAGCACTCTGATCTCACCACTTGTGGGCTGTCTGCCCACTCATCAAATTATAGGCTCCAAATATGGCAGGCTTCCCACGTACGTCACATAATGCCTGACACATTGAACAAAGCTCAAGAAGCAATCATTCCATTTACTTCACTTAGACAAATGTCACTGAAAATCGATTGGCCTTGCTAATGAGGAAAACTGGATCAATGGAATAATTATAATGGTGGGAAAACATTTGACAATAGTACAAACCATGTTACTGGGAATTCATAAGGAAGCCACTCTAAATATATCACAAATTTACAATGATGTAAAAAGTGAAAGTGAACAGGCGTTACTGTCTATCTTAGTGATTCAACATATTTCACTTTCATACAATATAAAACTGAGACATACAAACAATGTAACCATTGTCATCTTGATAAATGGGTAGTTTTAAAGGGGTTTGATGACGTGCATACAGTAAGTGTTTGATTTGCATGCTGCAGACTGATGACAGTTATCCTTAATATAATTATTAACTGGACGAACCCCACCAAATGAAATGTGAGAATTATATGTGTTCAATCCGAATACTGTCAGCAGCTAAAAACAAAAGTGGGTGCAGCTTTGAAATTGGGGACAGGGACAATATTTCCATTTGAGATAAGGTTGTTAACAAGTGAACCACATTAAGCTGAGCAGATGCTGTGTTAACACACATTACAATGTTTAAAGGGCCTCTTTGCTCGGGCGGAACCTACGACTTTTATGCTCACACTTTACGACGCACCTGACCGCCCACGACATGGAGATCGCAATGAATGTAAACATGGGAAAGGTACCAATGAAGTTTCTTCAAAACAAGACAATCACTACTCAGACAACTCTATTGTGAATGGAAAGAAAGAAGACAAAGAGCAATAAAAACACTGAAAACGAGCTGTTCAGTTCACATGGAAACTACCACCCCATTAATATTAAAACAAGCTCAATACAGTTTGTGTGGTCTCTGTTTGCACGACAGTCAAGCTAAACTTCTAACAGCTTATGTAATAGAAACCTGATTCCAAGATTAGTAACAAAGCCTTTTTAATTTACCCTTCAAATCTCTACCATAGATGCCATACACTGTAAAATAACTGTCCTTCTGAGGTGACGTCAAGAGATCTACCGAGAATTTGCATAAAATTTGCGTGCTGTCGCATTGTCAGCAGGTGTGGCCGGCTGAAAAGTGGCTGAGTTTAGACAGAGGCAGCTGGACAAGAGTGTGATGCACAGACTGCAGGCGCATATTCTCAAAGCCATATATTTTCATCAGTGGCTATCTGATCTGTTATGCAGGATGAGACTGGGCAGAGTGTGCCCACAGCTGCATTAGTATCACCGATCATATCAGTGCGCCTCAGACCGTCCCACTATTAATATTCACACAATCTATCCAGAACAATGGGCCTTTCTTGGACTCCTTTTTTCCACTGGGCACTAATTGGATGTAATTACTCATCTACAAAACAAATGAGCGTGGTGAGGTTGCCTTGGAGACTAGATCAGGGGACCCAGCAGTGCGAATCGTTCGCAGGGCTTCATTTATACTGATAATTATCTCCCCTACCCCCATCCTCTTTCCCTCCTGCCCTCGGTGACCAAGCGCGGCTGCGAGGCGATGGAGAGGGGAGTGTCTTGCAATCATCTGTTACTGACATCATCGGGGTGGCTCTCTTTAAGTGGATAAATGCCCCGCGCTCGTACCCACTTTGCCAGGTGACTGCCTTTAAGGAGGAACCACAAACCTTGAAAGTACCGCTGCTCTTTTTCCACACTGGTTGGAAAATAAAACTAATCACGCTGATGATAAAATACAGCGTCACGCTCTCTGGCCTGCTGCGACTTTGGACTGTGAGGAATATTTTCCCAAGTTTGATCTGCACCAAGTTTGTGATTATTCTTATTTATATTCACATACACATGTTTGACAGCACAATCAGTGAGCCAAATGTTAACAAAACAGTTAACGCAAGCATTAAAACCTCAAGGGGATTGACAGGTCTCTTAATACAGGGAGCTACTATAGAAATAAAACCTATATTTGTATATTTAAAGGCTGCTAAACTAGTAATGTCTGCAAAAAATTATTTAAACTGCCCTTTATTTTGAGTGGACTCTGATATACATGAATATGTTTGTTGCTTTTCAAACAAACAAGGGGTTCCTGGGAATTGGGGATTACAAAAATCTATTATCAAAAGTCATTTTCATTTCTGCATATAGTGATTTTTCATGCACTCGTTCCTCCGGTCCCTCGTGGCGCCAGCGAGATTCCTTGGTGGCCATCAAACCACATCACTCTACAGAAGATGTCAATAAACCTGACATGCTGCTTCCCAAATTAGCTTTGAATTTTAGAGCTACCATAATTAGCTTTTCCATTTTCACCAATGTCATTTAAAAATAGCGTGAAAGAAACTAACAGCTCTTTTGCTGTCTAGTCTTGCTTTCACTTTCCATTTGAAATAATCTTTTCTGAATGAATGGCTGAGTAATTAACAGCACTAGACACCCTTTTCAGAGAGCACAGACATTTCATAAATAATACATATTTAATGTCTTGTCATTTTGTGTTCAGAGAAGCTTGGCTAATGAATTTTAACAGATGATTTCTTCTTGCATTTACTCACCCATACTCAGACCTATGTTTTTTTTTTTTTTTACTTTTTTCCCTTTTCCTTGCTTTTTCTTTCCAGTAACGGACAAACTCAACAACGCTACTGATTTATATTTACCTCCAACCTCGGCTGGGAAATGACTGTGGATAGTTTTAAAGAGGAAGATGAAATTCTGATCACTGAATTATGGTTAAAACAATGTGCAACAGTGTAGTAAATCAGTGCCCACTAATTCGCTGCAGGGAAGCCCACACAGGCCACACTAAATGATTTTAATGCAGATTTTAACCTGTGTGGGATCTGGTGTGGTCGGGACAGAGAAAGGGCACGCAGTTATCGACAGTCAGCACAGATTATCCTATCGTGAGTAGGCTCCAAGCTGACAGCCCTGCCCTTTTGTCTGAACACATTTTTTTTCCAGACATGTCTGGTTGGGGTTGTGTGGTCTGAAGAGTCACTATGACTGAAATGCATCTAATGGTCATTTAGATACAGAGAGAAAAGGAATTATCTTTCACAGCATTGTCTCCTAAGACACTGTTATCTGAATGAATGTCAAAATATTCCTGCATCTTATACAATTTAATTTAAAGGCTATTATCTAATAAAACTGCACAACATATTATCATTTATCACTATTTAAGTAGGTCTGCAATTTACAATCTGTATGTTATTATACAACACATTCAATATTTCATAATTAAATTTATTATAAGCCGACAAATAAACCTCAGTCCAGTGAAGCCGTCAGTAAGTTTTCTTTGCAGAGTGTGTTATGTATGCAGCCCCTGGAGGGCAGAGTGGTGATGTCCCTGAAGGCCTGTGCCTGTAACCTTAGAGCATCTGCTACCCACAGCTGTGAGAGCCAACACTTTCGTAGTGGAGGCACAAAGGGACTCTTTGCCCTCCCCGATGTGTCACATCTTTCCCTGGGCCTTAGACAAAAAAAAAAAAACAAGCAGGATGGGCTTGGCATGTCTGCTCATGTTATTTTGCACAAAATACATGTAGAGCGCTTCTGGCCTCAGAGCTGAGCTCTGCAGATTAGCATCTGGGACAAATGGACCTGAGCTCGCAAAGAGCCAGAATGATTAAGCTCAGCGCACGCAGCCAATCCTGCTCTCCTCTCGGGCACTGCTGAAGATCACAGAGCTTGTTGGGAGGGAATTGATAATGATCTTAATTTGGAAATGTCTGTCACGTGTGCTCCCATCTTTTCATTGGTGAAAAAAAAAATGGGTGTGAGAAGAAGATGAGTAAAAGAGAGAATGAAACAAAGAAAAACGACTAACTGAGGG